GCGAAGCCAGATCTTATTGCAGGATAATAAGAGGTTCCAACTGCTTTCGTTACAAACTTTACAATATGATCATTAACATTTGCCCTAGACGTGTTAAAGGTTGCCACACAATAGAACCTTTCCTGTTCAACAATCTCAAAATTTCAACTTCCAAACCAATAAAATTTGATAATATAATAATTAGGTAACTCTGTAATAATAATGTACAAGGATTATAATGTACAATTACATCACAAAGATGATAGGGTGCATACGTTAGTGAAGCCAAAGTCATTGAAATATAATCATGTTAGCTGTGAAATGTTATGTAATGTTGAGTAAATGAATGTGTGTCATTAGGTTTATGTGGAGTGCTTAGTATAGGTTTCTTTATGTATTATCTGCACTGCATACACTATGATCTTGTGAGTGAGTTTTGACTGAATGTGTGAGATTTGGAATGATCGTCATTTGTTAGTAAGGTAACCTTGAACATGAATTGACCTTAGTCTAGTAGACTTAAACTCTATTATATCCCCTAAAAAGAAAAAAAAATGTTTCATCTTATACTCTTCTTTGAAATCTATTTGACTTGAGCAATTAAGCCTGATGAGATTCTTATAACTTGATACCCTATGGTTAACTAATTTGGAGTCATCAACTCAAAACTCATTACAATGGGCATCTTAGTCGCTTAATGGAGAAGAGTATGTACATAAGATGTAAAAAAATTGAAAAGAAAAATGATAAACTTGAAAAGAAAAGTAAAAATTGTGCGAAAATGTATATATGCTCAAAGTGGGTGGGAGAAAAGTATAATATACGTGAAAAATGAGCTTCATTTATAAGTTCTAATATGCATTATTGGTTTGACTTTCATTATTAAGGAAATAAACTTATTTAACAATGATGTTTAGTAGGTCATTTCTTACAAATTTAAGGTTTGTAGTTTTTTTCACAAGAAACTAGTAGCACTTTACATACATGAGTCACTTATACAATTTACTCCATTTATACTTAAACTGAGTATGTGAGAAAATTTATTGATCATTGATTATGTTTATGCATGCTATCAACTGATTATGCTTGTACATGCTTGATGATTGAGTAATTATATCTTGTTGATATAGTTCTTTTCGTCATTTTTGACAAAAAGAGGGAGAGATGATGGCATTTTAGTCTAATTTGAAGTAAGGGGAAGATGATAGTATTGAGAGTTTTGTTTTATTAAATGCTTAGCTTTTTGGGTTTTGATATTTTGTAATATTAATGTTTTAGTTGGTGTTTTGATAAACATTAGTAGTACTTCTCAATCTAATTAGCATATTCATGATAGTCTGTTTCAATTGTTATATTTCATTTTTCACAAGTTTTTACACTTGATGTTTGAGTTATTGATTTTAGGAGATATGTTTAACAAGGAATGCAAGAGACAATCATTCATTTTGAGTTTGAGTTTGGGTAAATTAATTTTGTTTTTATTTCTTTAACTTGTATTGTATAGTTTTGTTACAAAATGTCAAAGGGGGAGATTGTTAGGACTTAAGTTGTATTGACAATTTTTTAAACAAAATGATTATTATAAAATAGTTGTAAAAGTCAAGGAGCCTTTTGGAGTGTTGTATACAAGAACTAGGAGTCTTTGGGTTCGAGTATAGAATATGGAGAAATGGCCGTCAAAATTATACTAGCTTATCGCCAATCTGATGCTCGAGCGAAAAAACATAATCATTATCGCTCAACTGTTGCTAGCCCGGCGCTCAAGCAACAGTGTTTTTCGGAAAACCCTAATTCACAATTTTCAAGAGTTTTATCTATCATATACTACATAAATACCTCATATTATAAATACTCAATGCCTATTACATATTTGGTGGTGGTTGATTATTATTTTTCTGTCTTTATAACATTCTTTGGAGATCAACAAACAATTATCGACCACAAGTTGGGAAAAATATCAAATTCAAATAATCCAAAACTCATATTTTCTTAATATAATCAAGAAAGTACTCTCTCAATAACTTTTAAAGGTTACTGAAAATTGAGAGAGGTTGGGCCAGAAGTACAAGAATAAGGTATTCTTGGTTATCCACGGGAGATAGACAATTCCAAAAGACCGGGAGCATGAATGAGTGAAGCATGTTCCAAAGGGTCTTAGAGATTGCAGGAATGAGATTAGCAAATCTAGTAGGTTTAGTATGTTGGATCATATTGCAAGTTCTGATTGTTTATAGTGTAAGTTATTGGCTTGATCCCGGAATTTTTAATACCATGAAAGATTTTCTCCGTCGACAAATCTTGTATTATTTATTGCATTATTTACTATTGTGGCAATTTAACATGGGATAAAGTTGACTTGATTGACTAAACATTTAGAACAATTAAAAGATAACTTATTACTTTTAATTGGTAATTTTAATTTCGCGTAATTCACCGATTCACCCATCTCTAAGTGATTTTAGAGTCGAACTCATAACTTTCAAAACGGTTCCCAGGAAAACTCTATTAAACCAAGGTGTTACAATACACAGTTAACATATACAGATCAAAAGAATTACTGCCTATAAATTGCATACTAAACAAGAAAGCAAAACACCATCAAGATTCAAGAATCGAACATTTTTGTAATTAAACTGAACTAATCATTTTATTTCCGGAAATGAAAAATACGAACTAACAGTAAAGGGAAGGTGTGGACAAGGAGTGTAATCAGGGGCGGACCCACATGGGGTCATGTGGGGTCAAATGACCCCACAATTTTTTATTTTTTATTTTTTAGTTTTTTTTATTTTTATTTTTTTACTTTTTCCCCATTATTATGTATGTAAGCTTTAAACCACCTAGCTAGAAGAATCATGCTACAAGTAGTGTCAGAATTCAAGATGGCGAGAGTTGATTTGATGAAAAGACGACTTTGTTTTAAACGATCAATGATAGAATGTTACGTAATATTATGTTAACTATTATGTCAATTATTCTAACACTGTAGCATAGTTCAAAATTTAANAATGAAGATTGTCAAGAATCGACTGCGTAGTCGATTGGGAGATCAATGGTTAAGTGATAGTTTGGTTGCATATATTGAAAACAATGTACTTAACAATATTGATAACGATATAATTATACGACGTTTTCAGGGTATGAAAACGCGTAGACTACAATTGTAATAGCGTATTTGACTTATTTTCGTTAATGATATGTAGTTCTAAATATTTTTGAATTCTCATTTTTGACCCCACAAGACAAATGGTCTGGGTCCGCCCCTGAGTGTAATGCGAGAGCCATAGTGGTGGAGGGCTTGTTTAAGAGCCATGAATCCCTACTGTCGGGGCAAACTGGGTCAAAAAAAGCTTCGATGAATATCAAGTCAGCCTCCGCTGATCAGTTTTCGTACCGGAATCCATTTAGCTTTGGTGGAATTGGGACCTAAGCATCAATCAGAACAAGGATTTATCTATTTATACAATTTTTTGACAATATCGTTGACAATGTTGTAGGTGGCAAAAAAATTTGGTTGGAAAGATAAATTGTTTTTTAAACTATCCAATTCACATGTTGTCAACAAGTCACTATACACCAAGCAAAAAAAAAATATGAAAACTTAATTATTTTTATTTTACTGTTGTACCGAAAAAATATTGTAAAATTTACAAACTTTAAAATGTAATATTACATGATAATTATTAAAATCGAATTATTTTATTTTTACTGAATAATAAATTTCCATTGAATAAAATGTCATAAAATAATTTTTAAAAATTTCAAGTCAACCGTGTTTCCTAATTTTATATTTTGAGAAATAATGTTTCAAAAAAACAAATCAAACGAGTTTTTAAAAATTTTAAAACGAACCCTCAAAACAAAAAATTAAAAATGATCTTAAAACTCAAAACTGAAAATTGAAGCACAAATCAAACGAGCCCTTAATTTCAGAAGTAGCTTTTAACTTTTAAGGTGTGTTTGAGTCATATTATTTTGAAAGAATATATTCTGGAATAGTATATTGATGGAGAATGTGTGGTTAAAAAAAAAAAGAAAAAGTTATTGATGTAATGGAAAATATTATTTTATTGAAAAATATGTGGTTGAAAATGAGTAGAAGAATGATAATGAAAATTTTAATGTGTACCAAACAGGAGCTTAATAGTAGTTTCAGAAGTAGATTTTAATTTTTCAAACTGTAACATAATAGAGAATTATAAAGAATGTTGTAACTATTGACTTTTTCAAAAATTAGATTTAAAGAATTTTTGTTCAAAAATCATATGATCTGTTAAAATATTAATAAAAATATTATAAAATTAAATTTAATCTACGTTTCCACCGTCTCATTTTGAAACCCTAATCATTTTTTCCTATATTTTCTCTCTCTACCCTCTTCGTTCTCTCTATATATCCACCGTAGTGGCGTCGCTCTAAAGCAGCCAGAATCATTACGCGACAACATCATTTTGAAGCATCCAGCACCGCTACGAAGTGGCATTGTGACAGACACGGTGCCGCTGTGTAGCAATGCAGCATCACTACTGTGCAGCCTCCTCTAGTAGCAGCGTCAGCGACACTCCAATAGTCTTTAGTGGAGAGATCTGCTGATGTTGCTGTAGTGATAGTGTTGGTGTTGTGTTGAGTTGAGTTGAATTTTTCCCCTTTACAAAAGTTCTACGTAACGGAACAGAGTGGTATAGATATTTTTTTTGATGCTATGTTGCCCTCATCAACTAGGATATTCAATAGGAATTGAGAAATATTTAAAGTTCTTCGACAACTAGGATATTTAACCCGAAAGTTTGCATATAACCAAGTTAAAACACACTTCAGCAGTACAATTTTCTCAACAATAAAGAACAATACAGAGATTCCCCGACAATAAAGAACAACAGAGTTTCCATTACGAGCTTCTATCTATCGAATGAAAGAGAAAATAAGCGAAGTATATCAACTCTGGTCTCTATAAATAGGTGGGCAACGCATAAGGGCTTTATTTCATATTACAGTGATGAATAATATAAAATAACGCTATTTTAAGAAATCATTAGCTTCCCACAATCAAAATCAGCCATTTTCGTCACAATCCCAACAGAATATTTAGACAAAAAGGATTTCCTCAAGAAACTCATCACCTTGCCATTGCTCTCTTGTATCATTCCAACAATGTAGGCCATGCTAATGAGACTAAAACTTCTCCATCTCCTCTCTTTTGCGTACTTTTGCAGCCCCCTTTCCATTTTCCCATATTCTCCATCTTCTTCAGCGTTGTCAGATGCCTTTGTCAATAAAGCTTCTGCAAGGCATTTTGCAAGAATGACACTATCTTCTAAAGCCGAACACCCACCTTGACCAATATCAGGTGTCATGGGATGAAGGGCATCGCCAACTACGCAAACATTGTCTTGAACAATATGTCCAAGTAAAATATTCCATGGTGATCTGAACTTTAGAGGAGCATAAGAAATGCAATCTAGCTCGGTTCTCTCTACAATATCAGATACTCGTTTTGGTGCATTCTGAATATTGCTTAATACAAATTGCTTCATTTTGAGTGGATTTTGCTCATTTTCATCATCTGCAATAAATCGAAAAGAGAAACTCCATTAAACGAATACAATGCAAAATTTATTCTCACGGCATTCAACTTCTAGGCATAAATTTTACTGGAAGTATTGACTTATGTTATGAGACTTGGAACAATAAGTCAAATGACTTACAATTGAAAATCGATGCAGTAAGCGTGCAAAACCAATATATGCTCTTGTCATCACAAGGAATAAAACCATAACGGACTCCTCCTCCAAAATATGTGTGGAACTTCGCCTCAAAGCCATGGCCATTGGGGTAGTTAAGAAAGCCTCTAATTGCTGATCGTCCAACATTAACCGGATTCTGAAGTCCCAACCATTTTGCCACCGTTGAATTGATTCCATCACATCCAATCAAGACCTTCAACAAGAGCAGAATACAATTAGTCGGTCGAGAATGAAGCATAAGATCTATATATTAATCCATTTATACATCAATAAATACCAAATTACAAACAAACGTTGGGAAGGCATATGTTCAAATAACACGAATTTACCTTGGTTTTGATAACTGAACCATCTGCAAGGTGCACCAATTTGAAGTTCCCTGATTGCTCTATGGAAACGAGCTTGGAAGAATATCTAATAGTTCCTTTCGGGAGTTCTTTCTCCAAGGTTTCTAGTAAATCTTTCCTTTTCACACATCTGACTTCGGTGTTGCCCCTGCATCATATCACAATCATTAAACAATATTCTCAATTGTTTGAACAAATGAGAATATAAGATTTTCAATTGTAGGACAACTTTTAAGATATCCATTGCAAAATTCATCCATAAGCAGCCTGATTTCCAGATTTTTCACCCACCACCACCACTGCTGCCCTCATGGTCACGAAAAAGAATGAACTCTTATTTTCTATTTAAATCTTTGAAAATCAGCATTATTTATGAAATTTTCTCTGATTATAAGTAGTTGACAACATATATCTGGAGTAAGCAAGCCTATAGAAACAAAAATTAGATAAAATTTCTTAAAGGACCAAATTCGGGAGAGAAGATGAAAATTGGTCAAATTGGTAATTAAGTACTGTTTCACACGTCTTCCCTGTATTAAATAAGAATAATGCTATTTAGCACCAATGATTTAGTATCAATCTAAAAGGCAATGGAGGTCCACCTACATTTGTCCAATAGACGAGTTTTGGTGGGCCTCAACAGCCGCTTAGACTAGTGCTAAGCACCGTTCGTGCTAAATAGCATTATTCAATAAATAATTTCAAAATACCCCTTTGAAAAGTTGTCAAGTCTAAATTCATTAAGACATTATCCAATTCTTCATAGTAAATAGTAAATTCTACTTTAGAGGATCAACCGAAGACCAATATCGACAAGTATAAGAATCAATAGTTGCAAAATTGTCTATAATTGTCTATTATTTTATAATCCTCACACAGAGCTCAAGAAGTTAAAACTATTTTGGGGCTGTCTGGGAGGGCTGTCTTTCACTTACAAATATGAACACAAATTGTTCTCCTAGCAAAGAATACGACAAAATCGTAAGGAAAACAAAAAAATACTCACAAATTCACTTCTGCTTGGCGGGGTTTCTCTGAAGAGGGCAGGCTTGATTCCGGAGAAAAAATCTGAAACCTGCACTAACAAAAACAGCAAGCAAATTCAAAAATTATGGGCACAATGTCAGTATATCAAGCCTACTAAGAGCGATTAATTTGCAACCATACCCATGAATTTGTACAGACTTAGTCCTGAGATACTCTCCAATGCCGAGGGCATCAAGGGCCCTCCAGGCATTACTCCACATGGTAAGAGCAAACCCAGAGATCCTTAAACTGTCCGATGATTCCAAAACCAGGCTTCGAATTCCCAACCTATAATAATGTAAATACATTATACATACAAAACTTGTAATTTAGTCATAAAGTATAATTTTTAAGCTTTAAACGTGCAGATTTTCATGTACCTGTGAAGCCCCAAAGCCGTTGAGAGACCGGATATACCACCACCCACTATTAAAATCTGTTCATCGATCACCATTACTTCACGCTGCATACTTTTAAGCAAATTTTCTATATAGAGAAAGGATGGGAGTTGGATTCTGGACTGGAAGGGAAATTTATTTGGGTGGTGTGATTCAAGATATTTGTGTTGGAGAAAGCAGATTTCTTTTAATATATAGTTTGATGACGCAATTTTGACTCGGAATGCACAGCCGCCGCCCCCGTTTACACATCAAGTTTGACATCCCCTCTCTTGGGGATCCACGCGAGTCATGTGAGGGGAATGTTAAAATAAATGTATATAAGGAGTGTACATTCATCATTATCTTTAATGAAGGGATATTTTCAGAGTTTATTAAATAATACGTCTCTAACATTTCACTTCTCACTTTGGTTATTACTTATGGGGTAAATACCAGTCTCAATCTTTGATTGTTACTGTGAAAAACGTCTCAATCTTTCATTTTTTAGCATTTTCACCTTTCATTGCGCAAAATGTCATTTTCATCAATTTTCTCAATTAAAAATTATGAAATGACAAAAATATCATTTCTTTTAAATAAAACAAAAGAAAAAGAAAAAAACTAATTGCAAATATAGTCCCGACTTTTTTTGAAAAGAGCAAATAAGTCTCAAATTATTAAAATGGTAATTAGCACATAATGTATCTACATTTCACTATTGTTGCAAAAAACATCATTACATTTTTTTTGGCATTTTCTCTCTTGATTATATTTTGATAACGCAAACCATCATTTCTATCCATTTTTTCAATAAAGAACTGTGAAATAATGATATGCTCTCATATTTAAATAAAAATATATTTTTAAAATTTCTAATTAATTAATAATTTATTTGAGACTAGTTTGCACTTTTTAAATTTTTTTTGTTTTTAAAATTTTTAAAAAATTTAATTGTGACCCGTTTGCACTTTTCATAAAAAAATAATTTTTTTAATAATTTATTGGGGACTCGTTTGCACTTTTTAAAAAAATTGAGACAATTGTTGCAATTAATTCTTTAGCTTTTTTATTTAAATATGAGAGTATATTCGTCATCCCACTGTTTTTTATTGAGAAATTGGATGAAAATGGATAGAAATGATTGTTTGCGTTATCAAATTATAATTAAGGAGGAAAATGCCAAAAAAAATAAAATAAAAGGCATGAATGTTTTTCGCAATAATAGTGAAAGGTAGGGATATTATGTGCTAATTACCCTTTTAGTAATTTATTTAAGACTCATTTGCGCTTTTTAAAATGTTTGGACATTTCACAGTTTTTAATTGAGAAAATAGATAAAAATGACATTTTAGCAATAAAAAGTGAAACTGCCAAAAAATAAAATGTAGAGACGTTTTCCACAATAACAGTGAAATGTGAGACGTTATGTGCTAATTACCCATTACTTAATTACTTAAAAATAAAAAGTTACTAATTATTCATCCATTTTTAAACAAAGTTATCCATCCATCGCTCATTTAAAATCCATTCATCCATATGGACAAAAAAAACCAGAGTGGTAGATGAAAATCTACGTGAACGTAACGATGTTAAATATGTTGATTGCGTGGACCAAAATCAATAAAATTAAAGTAGTTTTTTTCCTTCCAAGTTTTCCATAGCATGTTTTATGGCAATTAAGTGCATTAATACCATATAAACTATAGAAATATAATATCAATGTCCTCATTGAGACCAAAATATAAATAAGACCAGTTTAACGACGTTACGGGAGGGTAACTTGACAATCAACAAGGGTAAATTTTATTGCTGGAATGTAATTATCTGTCTGTTAATGAACAGTCTTTAAATGATGTCTAAATAATCTATTAAGTCAGCCTAATACTCTCTCATCAAATGCCTCTCATAATGGTAAGTTCATTTCATATGCTGCCATCTCACTCAACGGTAAACCAAGAAGCATATCACTTGTCATGCAAAAATAGCAATTCAAAGAAGCATTCCAACAGTAAACCAAGAAGCATATTTTCATTCAACTGATATGCAAAAATAGCAATTTAACTCATGATTAGATAGATCATTGTTTTGTCTTCATTACAAAAATTACGCCAGATCATTGTTTATTGTCTTCCAAACCAAATTATATCCATTAAACAAAATGAAAATACTATTGAGTTGCTGAATTTTTTCTTATTCTTGGAAATGCAAATGGAACGGACCCTCGAACAATCCTTCTATTTTTTGCTATGGCTGACATCTTCCTTTCTCTTTCTTGATTCTATATCTCTTACAAGTCTTCCACCATGGATTTAAGTGGAGATTCCCCATTGTTGAACTTTCTGGCTCATTAAGTGAAGGACCATAGTTGGTAAATTGCGCAGCACTAGTTAAATAAGTTCCAAGTGTTGGCATGAAAAGGAAATTAGATGATTGTTCTAGTGGTTGCATTTCAGATGGAGGCATCGCCGATTGCCTCCTAGGCACGAGCTTTGCCTATCATAGTGTCATGACATCATATATGGAGTCAAAAAATTATATCACTTATAGTATGATATTGCAATAGATGTAATTACCCTTGATCTTTCACTCCCCACGTGCCTTAAGCTTCCTTTATATGTATAATCTACAACCCCACAAGACAAATCCTAGCAAGAGTATAAACTAATGCACATTAGATCATATAGTATGCTAAAAATTAGAAGCATAAACCTTTGTCTTTGGGCAGTGGAATCGGCAATTGATAGATGAGTGGAGATTGAGCTGGTGGTGGGTAGAAACTAGCGTGGCGACTAACATGATAGTAGTTGGCACAGCGTGAGAGAGTGGGTGAATTACGACTGCATTATAGGAGTGATTGCAAAGGGTTTGAGATTTTGAATGTGAGAGAGTGTGGCTCGTCTTTTTAAGGGTTAGGAAATTTTGCATGAGAGAGAGAGAGAGAGACCAATTATGGTGTGTAGTTTTTTATTTTCATATTTTTTTTTATTTCAAAAATTTTGGGACCTCTTTTTATTTTTTTTATAACTTTTTCATATAGTCAAAGGGCAAAAATGATATTTTGCAAAGACTTTCAAAAGGTGACATTCATGGAAATGTAAAGCCAAAAAATGATATAAAGTGCAAATTCCTTTCTAATACATAATTGGAAAGGAATCTTCCTACGTATCCGAGAATGTGCAACAAAACAGCCCAATGCACAATTACATCACAGCAGAGAATGGGATAATGGAATTGCGTTAGTCAATTTAGGCTCCTTTCTCTTCAGCTGCGAAGCTGCGGTAGCATGCATCTTCCACAAGATCAAGGGCTTTGTCAATGTCATTAAATAATAAAAATAATTAACTTCCTTAATTTTTTGACACTGTCCCCAATTTTTAGAATATAGAATTTGTAAGAAGTAATTTTTTTTAAAAAAATATACAATTAAAAATGAGAAAATATTTTAAAGTTACGTTTATTGGAAAGACAATCTAAATTTTGTATCATAACTCCCCATAAATTGAAGATTCGAATAGAGTGCTATCGGACATAAAATACGAGCATCTTTGGTATGTTTAAGTGATTATAACTGGTCGTTACTTTACGTATTCTCTTACTTTACTTTGTCATCAAGAAATTTCCACTCTGTTTGAAGCAAAAGTAAATTAGTGAGGGTATATAAATTCAAATTGCAACCAAAAACAGCACGTTAAATAGGAAAGATTGATTGACATGCACACAGAAGTCGACAAAAAGGCTCAACTGTGGCAAAATCACCCTAGTGTTCTCAAAGCCACAAACATATATACCATTCTCTCAGGCAATTTCCACATATTTTTAGCATTATTGGAAATTAAAGACATTTTTTGTCTACATACAAACCAACACTAATGGGTACACAAGGAAAATAAACAGTATTCACAGAGCAATTTACTCATAGGAAGAAATGTATAGGAGGCTCCTCTGCAGTCTCGACCTTGTTTGCCAGTAACGGATTGATGATTCCTTTCCATCCATGGTAGTCTAGAGGTGAGCCCTTGTCAGGTAAGGCAAATCCATTTACAAAGAAAATAGGTGTCCCGTAAACCCCTCGTGAGCAACCATACTGTGAAAACAAGCTAGTAAGATTGGATATAGGAGTTCTTAAGCAGAATGAAAACAAAAAGAAAAATGGGCAACCCTGCAAATCATTATTTAACAAGAAACCAAAAGATACACATGCAATCCAGCGGGGATGGTTTCCAAGAATAAGGCCACCCTACCCGGAACTCTTTCCGGAGAGCTAGTCTTTCTCTCCCAGGAGTAATGATGTAGAGTTTGTCCAATAATGGTAATACAGAGCGAGATATACAACATTACCTTGAAGGCAATTCTCGTTGCATGGTCTGTTTTGGAGTCGGTGAAGCCAGATCTTATTGCAGAATAATAAGAGGTTCCAACTGCTTTCGTTGCAAACTTCACAATTTGATCATTAACATTTGCCCTAGACGTGTTAAAGGTTGCTACACCATAGAACTTTTCCTGTTCAACAATCTCAGAATTTCAGCTTCAAAACCAATAAAATTTGATAATATAATAATTAGGTAACACTGCGATAATAATGTGCAAGGGTTATAATTACAATTACATCACAAAGATGATAGGGTGCATACATTAGTGAAGCCAAAATCATTGAAATATAAATATGTTCGCTATGAAATGTTATGTAACATTGATTAAATGTGTTTTGTTCTGGAAGGATTTGACCCAACAAAGTCATAAATCAAGGGACAACCATTGTGAAAGACATCAGACCAAGTGATTTAATATGGTATCACAACGGAAAAAGATTCTGGATTCAAGTGTCGTCACCAATAAATCATGCACGTGTTAGGTTCTATTGATAAAAATGAACCTTGCCTACACATGAGAAGGCGTGTTAAAAAATATTTAAATGATCTACAAGCGGTCATATCTTTCAAATCAAGCGGTTTAATACAATACCTTGTGGAGAACTCAAGATACTAATTGATATCGCAAAAGTTCCTTAAAATGGCATTCGAGAGTGGAGAGAAAACTCAGCACAGACAATTTTTGAATTCATCCTTGCACATTGCAGCTCACTACATGA